AGTATCGTTCGATTTAAAGTTTGTATCTTTTGTATATAAATATATTGTAAGAAAAACCGACTCGTTGAATATTTAAGTAACTCAGTGCATTGCTTTATTGATTTTTATTCATATACAATAGTATATCTAGTAAAATGGAGGGTACGCAGGCGTACTATCTGGACTCAACAAGACTGAGGACACATTTATTCCTGGACAATTTTTAATATTCTATGTCCAAAGTGATTGTGATAATATTCATATTTTTGGGACTTCTAGAAAATAAAACATTATGATTCCTTATAAACAAGCTTGCAAACAAAGTGTTGAACACTAACAAGCGTTTCTGTAGGAAAAGTCTGTTATCCATGGTTAGTTAAATTAAGGTTTGTGATTCAAGCGAAAATCTCAATGAGGAAGCAACACAAACAATGTGGGATTGGAATTTTTTTTGTCTTTGATCGTACACAACATTTAAACGCTTACTAAGAATGAGGATTTTTGTTAGAATCCATGCATGAGCATCCTGAGATGAGATTTTTAAAGCAACCAGAGTAAAACGTGTTTACCTCTGAAGCCAAAGGTTGAATATGTTTTGTTAATGCCATCTGCCAGGGGTTTGAGGATATATTCAGATAATGGTAAATTAACTCCGTGGAATCAATTGCAGCCTTCTAATATTTAACAAATGTCAAGTTTTGCTATATTCGTTTAGAATCGTTGATGAAAACTTTTAATAAAACTTTAAGATATTAAAAGCACAATAAGTTAAGGTTTAATTCAACTTTACAATATTTTTTTCCTAAAAATAATTGGAAAATGATTTAAACAAAATCAATGTTTTTAGTTTTAGGGTCGTTTTTAATCCTTTTTTGCCTATATTTTCTGTAAACAATTTTGAAAACAATTGCTTTTTCATTTTTCGGTGATGGTGATAGACAAAACCTCTGTAAACCTTTGTTTTACTCAAAATAATTAGTTGAAATTTTGATTCATACCAAATTGTTGGAAATAATTTGTTCAGAAGTGTCAATGTAAGTCTCAAAAGCTGGAGAGAGAACGATGGCCCTGAAAAAGTTAGCATGAATGACATACAAATATTCTGAAATAATATTGACAACACAACTCAATTCATTTCCGGCTTCCTTGTTAATTTTCGCATACAGAATCTACCTAAAGTTGCAAGACAAAAAATTTCAAGACCTATCAAAGGTTGCAAGAGAGAGCTTTCCAGGACCTACCTAAGGTTGCAAGAGAAAGCATTCCAGGACCTACCTAAGGTTGCAATAGAAAGCATTCAAGGACCTACCTAAGGTTGCAAGAGAAAACATTCCAGGACCTACCTAAGGTTGCAAGAGAAAGCATTCCAGGACCTACCTAAGGTTGCAAGAGAGAGCATTCCACGACCTACCTAAGGTTGCAAGAGAAAGCATTCTAGGACCTACCTAAGGTTGCAAGAGAAAGCATATCCCATTACAGCAGCAGAGAGAGCCAGAACCATCATAAGAAGACTTCCAGAGTAAACTTTAAAGCAAATTTTTTCATCCTTATTCCGAAGATTAAAACCGTTCCCAAGAGCTGCTTTTATTCTTAACATAAGACCCTGACTTTTCATGTGGTAATTTTATTTTGTAATTGTCTTGATTCCCAATAGAATATTCTTTTTAAGAGAATTCATAAAAAAATTCTAAATATTGTTCGCTTGGTTACCACGAAGTAAGGGTAAAGCTGGAGAGGGAGGGGGTGCAGAGGCGCAATGAGCCCCGGAAAAATTATCTCCATGCCCTTCGCTACGTCTCTGAGCCTGAGCCTTTCTGTCTCCACGCCTTGCATATTAGTTATTAAAAATAATTGGGTTTAACATCAACCAAAAACATTTTTTCGAAAAATCTCAACTTGATAAATAGGTTATAATGATACATTAACAATTTGTATTAAAAAGTTTATTTTAATTGAGATTAGAGGTTTTATAAAGACAGACAAAGGAATTGAGTCTTTGTCACAAACTAGGATTTTCTAATCTCTATATCTTTGTAATCCAATGCCGTAGACCTTAGATATTTCAAACTATGAATTCTATTAGATGAAAAAATCTAAGCTTGAAATATCAAAGGTTTACACCATCAGGTGGATAAAATCTAGGTATTAGAAAATCAGAGTTTGTTACAAAGACTCAATTCCTTTTATTTTATTTTACAGGGGTTTCATGAACGAATCAAACAATATCAGCGGTAATTCACTGAACACAGTAGTTTTTGTAAAATCCTTAAATTTGTGATTTTATTGTATGCTTTAGAAAACATTGAAGAACTTTTCTTTAAAAGTTGAAATTTTTTTAAATAGTCTAAATATATATATCATGCTATACTAACAGGACAGGGCAGCGTCATATTCTGTACTTAAGTTTTACATACTATTAAATTGGGCTGAAAAATAGTTATAATCAGGAGAATTAGGGCCATGTAAATAGAGTTAATATAATTTTCTAAACATAAAGTCTTCAAACGTATTAAATTCATTTATACAGGTCAACTAAGGATCAATTGAATGAATTGATTTTTAAAATTTGCCAATTAAACGATTCTGTAAACTATTGCGGAGGCTACTCTGAAGAGATATATTTTGATTTTTAGTTGGTTAAGCCATAAAAGATAAACAAAAGATAAAATCAGCAAGCAGAGATCAAAATTCGTGGTGTGGAGACAAAATGGTGGAGGCTCCGAGATGTAGCGTGAGGCACTGAGAAAGTTTTGCGAGGCCTGGAGGCTTGGAGGTCATTTTTGCGGGGCTCATGGCGCCTCTGCACCGCCTCCCTTTCTGGGGCTGTGCATGTTCAGACATTTTTTTAAACTGTTTGTTTATGGTTAGTTAAAATAACAGAGCAAGCCTTCTTTTCAGGTATCCGATTGTTCTTAGCAAAGAATATAAAAGTTTAGTTCAGTTAGCTTTTATTTTGTTCTAAACTTTATTGCCCCTTAAGAATCTCATTTATAGCAACGGTGTTAACGGTTAATATTTTAGAAATCGCCAGCTGTTAACCATTTTCAATAATAAATTTATATTATAAGATAATTGTCTTATTGAAAAAAACAAAAACAGCAGACAACCTTCAAAAACCTGAAAATACTGAATAATTTCATGCAATTTTAAAAGGAAAATTAATGAAATTCATTTTAAGTAAAGCTAGCTCCAAGGAAGAGTTACATCTTCTTTGGCTAAAATATTTTTTGTTAAATATTTCAGAATGCAGAACACCTTTTAAGTTTCTTATTTATACCTCGTCTTGTTGATACCAGGAACCAATCTGGTATTGGCTCCGCATTTATTATACTAAGAGGCATTAGAACAACTGACATGTTGTCAGGCTAAATAAAACATAAATAATCTAAGCAAATTCAGAAATTGTTCTTATTTAAACCTGCTTAAATCCCAGAACTCTCAAAACATGCACAACACCAAGTAATGCCAAACTTGCCATTCCTGTACTAGATATGGATATGTTCCTTGTTTTTAATTAGTTTGTTTATCGCTCATTAACAACCGATTTGTTGGTTTATTCAAAAGTTTGCTAGACAAAATTGTTCTTTCAGTAAAAGAAACTATTGTTCTTTTCTTCAAGTTTGTTCAGAATCCTTCATTAACGGGTCTGACTGATCCATAAAAGTCAAACGATTGTTGTAAATTAAAAAAAGTTTACAAGAAATTTGTTTTGATTTGAAAATTTTTGTTCATACACAAAAACGATGTCCATCTCTATCCTGAACCAGTTCTCTAATAATGGTTTAAAACGCTCTAAAGAATATACAATATACCTTGTGAGAAGTCCAATCCAGGTGAATTTATCAAAAACCTAAAAATTTTACAATTTCACTAAAACTATACTAAGATTACCAAAGCAATTTCTGTCTGACCTTCATTATGTTGGTCATAGGAGATTTTCTTCCAGGGTACTAATCATTATTAATGTAAAACTAGATTTTAGATTAAAATTTGTTTAAGGAATGGTATGACAGCAATCTTAAAAATCTTAAAAGGATTTATGTTTGAAAGAAATGGCCGAATTTTCTTTTCTTAATTTTCACAAAAAAATTGGCAGACTTCTCCCCTGGAATAATTTATGGAACAACACATATATATATTCCTTTAATGGAATTATTAAAATTGGCACCACCTAATTAATTAAAACATTTTATTTCCTTCCTACCACCACTGACCATGTCAGGATTTTGACATAACAATGACTAACAATTTTTGCCAGGGAGGGTGATAAAAAATGTTGACGCACTGCGCAAATTTATCCCCCCCCCCCCTGGACAATTTTGTATTCTATTTAATTTAATATAATATACAATTAATATATCAATTATAATTTCATTACAATTAATGATCAGCATTGTATGCCTGCTGTTAATGGAGAATAGTTTTTTTACCAATCTCGGTTTTACTGTTTCAAAAGTTTTTTTTTCACTAAACACTCCACTCTTTAAAAGATTGTAATGACCACAAAGAAAACTATTAAAAGCAAATGGTTTCTGGTTTTGTTGTTTTAAGTTTATCATAGTCTCTGCTTTGTTCTGAAACCATTTACCTTAGAAACCCACTGAGTATTAGAATCTCCGACAGGATGAGTGTAGGTAATAAATTCATTTCTAAGATATTATGTTAAAATTAAAATTACATACATTTTAATCTTATCATCAAAACCTTTCAGCCAAGTAACCAATATCAGATATACCAACATCAACTTCTTTGTGTCCAACCTAGTATAGATATATCTTAATATTTCATAATCTTAAGTTTTAATGAATTATTCTTATACAGTAAAACCCTTAATAAAGAATACATCGAAAGAATTCATCAAATGGGCTCAGTAACATTTTGCCTAGTACAAGTTCGCCTAGTACACTTTTGCCTTGTTATAATCTCCAAGATTATAAATTCTAACGATATTTTCTATCAAAATAACTGTTTTACTCCTACTGGAGATAAGATAAATGACAGAGAGGATTCTCATGAGATATTCAGCATCGATGGAGACCATTCCCTTTTGTTACTCTGGACAATTCATTCTTAACAGTTTCTACCTTCACAAGCCCTATATTTTTATCATCATTGTGCAATATGCATACTCTGGAACATTCTGAATTTATACATTGAGTTCATCTCTACAACTTCTATCTTCTCAAGCCCTATATTTTTGTAATCATTGAGCAATATGCATATTCTAGAACGTTCTGTATTTATAAATTGAGTTTATTTTCACAACGTTTAAGCTTCTCAAGCCCTTTATTTTTATCACCATTGCGAAATATGCATGTTCTAGAACATTCTCTCCCCTACAAGGCATGAAATATGTCCTAGTTTTTTTTGTCATCATTATGCAATACCCGGCCGTATAAAAAGGCCACCTTTTCGTAGTAGATTCAGTCTGGGGTTCACAGGCAGAACTACTACTTCTCTTCTAACCAGGTCTCTCTATATATTTATATTCCCCTAAACCCTCCCTCTCTGAACTTGGCTTGTTTTTAACTTAACATTCTTATGGATATTTTTATACTTGTAAAATTTCCCTTTTAAACTGGGCTAGTTTTAAACTTATGTATTTTTATGCACCTTTCATACTTGTTCGAATTTTGTCAAATTTTTAACTCGCAAATATTATATGTTAATAAATCAAACCTTAAATTCCTGTTATTCAATTCTGCGAGCACACTGTTAAATATTCGAAGTCTTATAATTTCATTAAAAGGTTTACTTGATACTTAGACTGAAATCTATCAAATTTTAAATTGTTTGTTTTGATTCAAATATTCGAAAGAACTTGACAGCCTAGTACACTTTCGCCTAGTTCAAGTTCGCCTAGATAACATTTTGCCTAGACAACATTTCGCCCTGATAACATTTTGCCTAGATAACATTTTGCCTAGATAACATTTTGCCTAGATAACATTTTGCCTAGATAACATTAGAGAGTAATTTTCGCCTAGATTAACATTCTTCAAATTAACCAGCTTTTGGAACAAAAAATACGCAATTTTTACTGTAAAAATTTCACAATTTTTTTTTGTAGTTTAAATCATTCAGTTTTCTACTGACATTGATGTCGACATGACGTCCTTAATTCAGGCAGGGAAAACCAAACGAGGTAGATCAGCCATAATTGATAATCAACATTTCTCATATGTCTCCAATGGACCTGGTAGTCAGAAAGTTTATAATTGGCGCTGTTCAAACAGAAAATGTGATGCCACCTTAGGAACAAGGAAATCGAGTGGAAACCTGGTTGGGGATACTCTGCCAAGTCACCAACATGGAAATCAGCTGATGAAAAAGACTGCAAAGAAAACTGAATCAGCAGTCTTGTCTATGGCAATATTTATGAGCAAATGGGCAGTTGAGATTCTTAAAACACACAAGACTTGGCTATTTGATGGGACCTTTAAGTCTGCCCCAGTACCCTTTTCTCAGGTATACTTTTAGATCTAAATATTGTTTTTTAATATTTTTTTACACTTATACACATAAATAGAGTAATAATTCTTAGGTATATATTGGTATGGCAGCATCTGCAAGATAGGAGGAAAGGGTATACCTTGTGTCTTTGGTCTCCTTCCTAACAAGAAAAAAGAAACCTATGACATATTCTTCAACAAGATAAAGGAGCATGTTGGGGAGCAAAACTGTCCTAAAACAATCATCTCAGATTTTGAGCAGGCTGTGTTCTCTATATGTGCTAAAGTGTTTCCAACCGTGAGCCACAAAGGTTGCAGATTTCATCACAACGCTGCAGTTTGGAAGAACCTGGGAGATCATCATCTTCAGGAACTGTTTAATCAGAATCCCAGGTTCCAGGAACTAATCTATCTGATGTATACACTCTGCTACGTACCTGTGGATCAGGTGAAAAGCTATTATGATGCAGTGATCATTCCCCAGGTTCAAGAAGGAGTTGATCATGATCAAGAATGGGAGGATTATGATCAGGATATTGATCGTTTTGGGTACTACTATTCACAGACTTGGATTGAAAAACGGGGTGGGAGGAGAGCATTGTTCCCGCCATGTCTTTGGAACCAGTACAGCACAGTTCTAGAGGATGGAATAGAAACAAACAATATGCTGGAATCCTTTAATCGTACCTGGAATTTATTGTCTGGGTACAGTCCAAATTATTGGCACATTCAGGACCAGTTTGTCAAACAAGATGCTGATACAAGACGAGCATTTCTTTCTAATTCAGTTGGCCAGGATATGGCTGATAATACAGGCAGAAAGCAGAGAGCCAAGGATGCAAAACAGAGGGTTAAACTGGTGGTAGAAGCTTTTGCTACAATACCTAAAACTGATTATCTGAAAATGCTGGCTCATGATCTCCAGCGAGCTAGTGCCCTTTAAGAAAAAATTTGTAAACATTATTATAATACATTTTTTTTGCTTTTAATTGAATTTCTTGATAAAAAAGAGGAACTTTATAAATTTTAGTGAATTTGTCTAGGCGAAAATTACCTTCTAATGTTATCTAGGCAAAATGTTATCTAGGCGAAATGTTGTCTAGGCAAACTGTGTTTAGGCAAAATGTTATCTAGGCAAAATGTTATTTAGGCAAAAAGTTAGCAGGCGAACATGTACTAGGCAAAAGTGTACTAGGCGAACTTGTACTAGGCAAAACGTTACTGAGCCATCAAATGTCGTATTCTTCACTTTCTGATAATGGAATGAGGCAGATATTTAGTTTTTTAATTAAATGATTATATTCATGGCTATTTATTTATTTTCGCAAATACTAAAATTTACGTAATATGGTATAAAACTTATTGAAAAATTGTCAAGACGACATTTGATAAATTCTTCCGATGTATTCGTTATTAAGGGTTTCACTGTACCATAGAGATTATTCCAGGGGGCCATAAACCAGTAGAGACACTCCTTATTCCCCATAAATTATTAGCAAATTTAAACTCTGCCATAAGTTCATACTTATCTAAATATTTGATATTTAAGATTTATTTCATACACAAGTATAAAATGGAATAACATTAGGCTAAAAGAATAAACAATAAAAGTATGTTAATGTTAACGATTTCAATATTATAAATTAAGCCTTTAATCAATGGTCATTTCATGTAAAAATAGCGGAAACAGTTTGAGGATAACACTCAAAAACATCAAAATACATAAAAATTTACCTTATATACCTTTAAGCCGAAAAAAACCAAAGCTGCCATTATTTTAAAACACAGCCTTACAATTTTTTTTTCAACTGTTATTTTTTTTCAAACATGGCTATTTTTAAAAGATAACAATTAAAAAAATCATTCCTAAAGGGACTCATCTGTTAATTTTCTAAAACTTCCGTTTTAACGGAACTTTGCCCAGCCCTATCAGTATGTTATTAGATATCACCTATGAATTTGCTCAGCGAGTATCCTTCATAAGATGTCTTATCAATTTGATTGTTATGATATTCAAAAGCCGGATATTCTTGATTGTATGCAATCCTGAAAAATTATTCCTTTTGGATAAACAAACTTATCTGCAAACATTTTGCTACTTTTTGAAGTTAATTTGAAATTTTCTAAATTTATTGTAGGTAAATATTTTTAAAATTTAACACCCATAAAATGTATTGGGTTCATGTGAGTTTTCTCATGAAAGGAATTGAGTCTTTACAACCCAATGTTGAGGTCTTAGATTTTTCAAAATATAACTTCTGTTATATCAAATAATCTAAGTTTGAAATGTCAAAGGTTTACATCATCTGGTTATAGAGATATAGGTAGTATGAGTAGAAAATTGGGATTTGTGGAAAGGAATCAATTTATTTGGATACAGACAAACAAACATTTGGATACAAACAAACAAACAAACAAACAGTGAGACATATTTTATGAATGTTCAATAAACCACAACAATTAATTTCATTGAATAAAAAAAAATAAAAAGGGAAAACTGAGATACCTAATTTCCTGTTTATTAAATGCATCTAAAATGTCCTCTGATTTTCCTTTAAACATAATTTTGTCCTTCTTTCTAATCCAGGCTCCATCAAACTTCTGATTATGAATGTTCCTAAAATGAAACTTTGATAAACAATTGCTGACATTTATTTCCAGCCAACGAAAAAATATCAAAAGATCAAATGCCAAATGATCAAAACTCTTGAAATGATCAAAAAAGTGTACGCTTAACAGTAGACAGCTACTTACTTTTTCAAAAATAAGATAGAAATAGAAATGATATACAAATGATTTCAGCAGAAACTTTTAGAAGTATTGGGTATGCATTAAAGGTTGTATGATAAAACGTTTTTAAAATCTCTCTTCTTTCTCTTCCTTCTCTTCCTTCTCTTCCTTTTCTTCCTTCTCTTCCTTCTCTTCCTTCTCTTCCTTCTCTTCCTTCTCTTCCTCCTCTTCCTTCTCTTCCTTCTCTTCCTTCTCTTCCTTCTCTTCCNCTTCTCCTCCTTCTCCTCCTTCTCCTCCTTCTCCTCCTTCTCCTCCTTCTCCTCCTTCTCCTACTCCTCCTCCTTCTCTTCATTCTCTTCCTTCTCTTCCTTCTCTTCCTTCTCTCCCTTCTCTTCCTTCTCTTCCTTCTCTGCTCTCTTTTCGTTATTCTTTCTTTCTTTTCTCTCTCTTCTTGTCGTGGAAATTTAACCGGTTTAAAGAAAATTAATGCAGTATGATCAGTTTATATGACTTCACCCAGATTTGTTTACATTTCTAGCTTGTAGACCTAATTTAAATGTACTGCGTTTGTACTGTATAATTTGGCATTTTATCTTTTGATATTTTTGCCCAGCCAACCTGTACACAAATTGTCTTGAAGAACTTGATAGGAGCACATATCTACAATCTAAATTTAAAAGATAATTTGATCAAATCTGAAAATAATAGAATAAAAGAAAGGATAGGAAAGAGGAAGTGATTGGCATCATTGGCTATTTTTTATTTTGTTCGTTCATAGTTCGTATACAATGTTTTTTCGATGACTCAAAAAAAAGATTTCGTTAAAATCTCAAAATTATTGTTAATATTTTACATATTTTGTTTGTTTTCTCAGGAAAATCGTTTTAAAAAATTCTGTTTTAAAAAATTGTTTACCAAAAAAAATATTTTATTTTTAAAATCGTTTGTTTAGTAAAAAACGAATAAAAAACTTCATGAACGATTAAGATCATTCAAACGATTTTAAACCTAAGCAGGAGGAAAAAACAATTGATCAATTAAAACATTCCAAATCATCTTTGTATACTTAAAATAGTATTTCGCAAAATAAAATTTATTTTATAAGTCACCTGGCAAAGGTTCATGTTGATGATTGTTTTGAAAAATAAAAAATATTGTTGGTTTAATTCTATGCTGACTTACAACTTCTAGATCACTTGCCTTAACATGAGACAATATTAGAGAATTATAATTGAAAAATGTAACTATTTTTGTTTACTATAAGCGTATTATTATTGGATTTTTTTTCAATCTATTCTTCATGAAGATTTGGTTTGAAATTCCTTCTCTATCCTTTAAATGTATCTTACACCCTTCCTTGCTCCTTTTTATTAATTACCTTGTTTGAAATGAGATAAATACAATTAGTCCTTATTTCCAAATTATTTTGATATTCTCCTATTTTTGATACATCATCCAAATAAATATTCACATTTCCAAGATTTAACATGTTGTCTATCCTATAGTACATGTAAAACCAGAAAAAACTGAAGGAAAGTTGTTTTTATTCTTTATATGTCTTATTGAAACATTGCTGAGTTTCAAAACAAAAATAATGTTATTTTGTTAAAGTAGGTTAATCTGTGTTATGATTAAGATGAAAGTTTTGATTCAAGAGATTTATCCAGAAGAAACAAAATTAAATGTTTCAAGATAATTGTTCGAACTGAAGTTAAGGAAATAAAAATTACCCAATTTGTACATTCAAACATCCAACTCTTTTTTCTCTTCTGGAAAGATGCAATCATTGTGGGTTTTTAAATTTTAATTAACTTTGCTTGTCAATCAGTATCTACGTGTTTGTATAAAAAAAAACGGCTGATCCAATAGGGACTAAATTGTTCATTACAACTTACATGACCCAGGGAAGGTTCATGGTCGTCAAAAACAAACAATTTTGTTTAAACAAAATGTAGACAATTATTTTTGAAAATATATATAAGAGATAATTAGAATAATTCGCGTAAATGTGAGAATGGTTAAAAAAAGGTCACTTTCAAAACAACAGTAAAAAGTTGAAGTTGATGATAGAAAACAGGGGCACAAAGCTCACTAAAAGCCTAGTTTCTAAGTGAAAATAACTTTGTTGCACTTTAAACCAATCTGTTCAAATATTGCTATCTTTCCCTTATGAACCAAGATATTATCTTCAAAACATCTTGTGTTTCAAAAATCTTTAATTTTGTAATTATCTTCTTCTCATTTATATCATTATTCCTCTTTATATCTTCTACACCATTTACAATTACAACAATGTAGCAACAGGCAAAATATTTGATTAGCATTATTTATCTAATACATAATTTATAATTTCTTTAACTAAGATGCAGTAGGATAGTACAATGTCTGCACAAGTGAGTAAGAAGGAGAAAGTGAGAGAGACGATTATGTAGACAAGAGAGATAGCAAAATCTGAAAGGCAACGACAGATGGAAGAGAGAGAAAGTAACACATTTTTTTAACGACCCTTTATATTGTCTTGTTAAATACTCACAGCTAGGTAGACCCAAAAGTCCATGAGATTAAAACCAGATTTGGACAGATTAATGAACAATAATTACCAATTCAAAAAAAGAAGAAAAGAAAAAAACTGTATTAATCTCCATTGGGTCTGAAAGTTCCAAAACATCAAAAAATAAGGATAAGACAGGGACAAAACACAAAACGCCGTGGCATGCACCTCTTAATCAATCTTTCAGGCAAAGCAAAAATTGAAAAGACTCCAAAAACGAACTGGAAACAGGCTTACTCATATCTATTGTAAATTTTTTTGTATGTGTGTAATTGTAAAAAAACACTTTCTACTAAATCTGAAAAGTTACACAATTGCTAAAAGAAATATCTGATTAACTATTCATTAAAATTTATTTACAATAAGTTATGCTTATATAATGTGGACAAATACATGATCTGATGAACATTTCAAATTTAATTTTGAGAGAATTGTAACCACCCAATTCCACTGTGAGATTGGATAATTATAAAATTTTTTAATATTTTTAGGCAATATACTCCACAAGCAATACAAACCACAGAGAATTGTTATAAAATAGGAAATCTATAATCAGTAAATTATATTTAAAAACTTTTGTTTAGAGGCTCAATTCAAAGAATTTGAGCTGCGTCTAAAATTTGAGACACGGCTCAAACATGGTTGGTTCCACTTGAAATTGTATTGAGTGTTAAGAGATTTGAGATGGCGCTCAAATGGAACTGGCTTTTAGCGGTTTAGCAACGATGTTTAAATTTGGCCTCAGATACATATAAACAAATATACTACTAAAAATAGCATTTAATGAATATTAGCAAAAGATTGTTTTAAAACTTAGCTTTGGTGGTGTTTTCTTTTCCCCAAAAGTTTAATTTACAGTAAAAGGGGCTGAAAACGTAATTTTTAAGTGACCCTCATTCTGGATTTACAATACCATTGTCTGATCAAGTGTATTTACAATTGATATCAACTTTGGTTCCTCTACAAAAACAACCTGCATTGCAGGAAAACAAAAAGAAATTGTCCCAAAATAACACTTTAAAGCAGTGTTTCGGATCCGGATCCGGTCGGATCCGTATCATTTGGTCGGATCCGGATCCGGATCCGTATCAGGATGCGGATCCGATATGGATCCGGGTAGCGTCAAAAATTAACCAAAACCATGGAATAAATAAATCAAAATGGTTCGTAAATGTATTATTTACATTTTACATGACGAAAATTTTTCAAAATTATCTTTAATAATTTAATGTTTACATTTATATAATAGTAAATTAATGACGACATTTTTAAAATAATAAATATAGTTTATAAATTATAACCTTGCATAACATTTAATAGGGAAAATCCGATTCACAGAATCAAAAGTTACCTCGGATCCGGATCCGGATCCGTATCAAGAGCCGGATCCGGATCCATGAACACAGATGCGGATCCGCGGATCCGGATCCGGATCCGGATCCAAATCAAAATGATATGGATCCGAAACACTGCTTTAAAGCCTAGAAAAACAACGTTATCTTCCACATTATTGATTAGATAAATGTTTCAAGGGAAATGTTATGAATTGGACATTGACATCCTTGCATGAAGGGTCACATGAAAATCCATGTACAGTCTCTTTAAGGAAAAAATATCTCCTTTTAGTGGCACAGTATTAAATTGGGTTAATCAATAATCATAGTCAAGTTATGTTTTTCAAAAATTGGTAAAATTATTAAAATTTGTATAAAAAAATCATATCTTTCTTATGAAGATCTTATTACATTTATTATTTTTAATCACAATTACATCTATCATTTATCAAACTGTAGGGCTAAATCTATATACTTAAGTGGAGTTTTTGCATTATAAACATGAAGATGTCATTATCAAAAACAACCAAATAAACTGTCAAAACATATATAATTAATCTGACACATATCAGCTGACCCACTAGGGTAAATGAGGACATCTTGAACCTTAGTAAAATCACAAATAAACATGTAAATAGGGCAAATATTGTATAAAAACTAGCTGCTCTCATACAGAATGTTTGGACAATGTCTTGAAAAATAATTCTCATTCTAGCCATGTCATTATTTGTTAAATCAACATTATTTACACATAATTGAGCTGAGATCAATTTTCTTCTTATTAAAGCTACTGGAAGGGATTGTCTTCGTGCATTAGCTTCTGTGCTTATTGGAGAGAAGGATGGTAAGGATCGTCTTCGAACTATGAAGTTAGCAGTCCTTGTAACAGGCCTTGGGACGAAAGGAACTACTTTGTTTTTCTTCTTTCTTTCTAGTTTTTTAAATTGTTTGATGAAACAAATAACTAGTTTTATTATCTCTAATATAACAGCACCACCTAAGGCCAGGACAATTATTGGAGCCTGGAAGCAATAGCTAGGTTCATCATTTTCATGTGTTATATTATTGTTACTATCACTCGAGGTTAAGTTAATGTCTTGTTCTGCCCAATCATCAATTTCAACCTTAAAGTTTTTCACTATATTTCTGGTAGCTATGGTTCCATTGCAAAGTAAATTACCATGTATGAAGTCCAGAGTACAGATCATAGATATTACTGAGCAAAGAATCATAGTAGTAGTTTTAGGATTAATTGATTGGAAAGCCACAGGGTCAATAACAAGGACAAGTCTACAGGTGCAGAGAGCAAGAAACCAGCTAGTACCAAATATAGATACATATCTGTAGGACAATAATAAAGCCAGGGTTGGATGTGTTTCAATAAAATCATGAAGATGAGAATTCCAGAAACAAGCAGTAATTGAAATCCCCAAAGATCTTGTTACTAATATAACTGAAACCATTGCAATAATAATGATTATTCTGTTTAGTATATTCTTCTGTGAAGGGGGCCGAGTCCACAGAAAATGAAGAAGAAAAACAGCAGCTATCCCTGACACCAGAAATCCCAGGCAGTCAATTATCAAGGTGTACAAATTTGGCATTGGTGGTACAATCACCATTAAACTTGAATACAACACCAAGACAAAACTCTTAATAATAATTTTACAATCCATTTTATAGTACAGTGTCTTTAAATACCAGATACAGCTATTGTGGTTGATCCTTGATCAGATTAATTTCTATCATGCTGATATCTTCTTTCAGAGACCTTGTTTAGACAAAGCAGGAGGTTTTTCACTGTAATTATTTATTCCTCTCTATTGTGTACAGAGAAGCAGTTGTCAAGGATAGAATTGTTCATCTGATAATTACTTCTGAGGGGTTAATATTTTTCTGTATTTACTCCACTCGGAAATAATTTGGGTTTGTGAATACATGCTGTCTAATCAAAGAAAGGGAAGTTTTTTTTGGGAAAAAATTTAAATCCCTGGATTGATGAACAATCCTTTGGTAAGTTTTTACTCTGTTGTGTGGACAGAGTCTGCTTGGATACAGAGAGAAGTTTATGCCATGCAGATCATACCTTCACAATTCTTATCAAAAATTAATTATCTTTTTATTCATTTAAATTTTGTTCTACAATAGAAGAAAATAAAGGATGAATGATGAAAATATGAGAAAAGAATAACTAAAATATATTTTTTTGTATTATCAGTACCTAGCTAAGTTCTACCATTTTGGCTCAATAACTTGTCCTCCTTTTTATATTTTCACAATACACAAAACCAAGGGGGGTTTTCAGGCCCCCCTTAAATAGAAAAAAATTCAGCCCCCCCCCCTCTGTACAAATTCTTGGTTCTAATTAAAGAAATTATTTTTCTCACTTTGGTTAAAAAATTTAAATGTTTCAAACAATCATGAAATTTAAATAATAATAATGCGCTTGCTTGATATTAATTGTATACATTCATTTATTCAACTAATTTTTGTATTAATTCAAGAGCATCATGATTTTCTCACTATGTTTAAGATCTAATAACTTGAATTTAGACCTCAAAAAAGCCATGCATAATTGGACATAGCTTTCTTAAAGATTTGATGGGATTTGATCAAATGTAAAGTATTATTAAGTATTATTATTAAATATTAAAATATTATGTTGTTTTGTGTGAATATAAGGATTCTGAATGATTATTAGAATATTTAAATCGTTGACATTTAGATGATCTACTTTAATTAAGTATTCTTGAAAGAATATTATTTAAACAAAAATAAAATTTTTTTCTCTTTATGCATCATCTTACATAGAGTAATAAAACGAAGAGGTTAAGCTTAGCTCAGATGTATACAACCGACCTCCCTATTAATTAATTAATAGAGTGGTCGGTTGTATACATCACGAATCACGATATGTTTACGTATCTAACACTGTACACTTGTATATAGAGTGATCGTATTTATAAGGGGGATTTATGGAATTGACCAATTTTAGATTTTCTTTCTCTATTTAAAGAAAATTCGAGGATGTCGACTGCAAACATTTGACAATTTCCAAATTGGTAGGATTTATTAGCAAAAAGTTATATCAAAACTATTAAGTTTCTAGGGCATGAATTTAACTGAAAACATTCTTATTTCAAACATTTTTATTGTTTCTTCTCTTTAACTCTTTATCATAAACATGACAGTGTATGCAGGGTTACCCACAAAGGATGAAACAACGATGACGACCTGGAGCTCTTAACCCTAAACAGGCTGAAGATCATCNAAGGGGGGGGGGGCGTTTGGCTCCCCTCTCTAGTTTTTTTTTACTTTTCATAAATAGAAATTTAAAGAATTTCTTTGTAAAGTTTTTATGCATAAGGTAGGGTGCAGGGCGATAAAATACCGGAGTTTGTAAAAAAAAATCTTAAATAGCCCATAACTTTTTTATGACTAAAGCTACAGATCTGAAAACTATTTTTTGAAAAGCCCTTGAAAAATGGGCGTAGGAACATGTATTACACTTTCGTATTTGTTTTAAACAAAAAAAATATTTTTTACATTTTTTCGACCTTTTTTTCTCCCAAATTTAAAAGGTCTAGCCATGTACAATGTTTTGGTCTATACATAGATTCAGACCCCCCAGCCTTTATAGGGTTAAAGATAAACGCACCTAAAGTTGAGAGCAATGGTGTTCCATTTTTCTTCAAACTTAGTTTTTTTTCCCTGACTTATATCTCCTTCTTTAAAATGGTTTAAGCAAATGCAACTTTTGAAGGATATTCTCTGGAGTCTCCAAACCTTAAAAGGTCTAGCCATGCACATTTTCTTGGTATTTTGAAAAAACTCACATTTTTACAAGAAGAATTGTTTTTGCACTTTTTCACGATGCAATATTTAGTCATACTTTTATTAAAATAAACAAACAACTGAACCATGGGTACTGATCAACTGAACTTAAATGTACTGCAGTATACAATCCTGTGTTCACAATCCATATTAAGTATCTATCTAATTATCATTACTAATATTCAGATATTTATACATTAAACCACCCCTTAGAAATACGAACGCACTATACACTAGTGTACAGCGTTAGATACGTAAAGATATTGTGATGTATACAACCGACCCCTCTATTATTTAATTAATAGGGAGGTTGGTTGTGTAGATCTAAGCTAAGCTTCACCTCTTTTATTTTTATTAATCTATGATCTCTTAGTTTTAATAATAATACTTATTTTCCCACTAGTGGACTCTTTCTATACATTATTTATATTAAAAAAGCTTGATTTAAAAAAAATCGAAAACATTTATTATATACAATTCAGATTTTATTGTGTTAGGACTGTAAGAACATTTTTTTAGAAACATTGTAAAGAAACCAAAAATATTTTTGAAAAAATATTAACAGAAAATAAAAAAATAACAGATTTCATAAAATTTTATAGTTTAAATTCAAAATATACAGTGTGAGTCAATAAAAAGGGTAAATATTGAGATCTTGCATATAACAAAGCTTTTTTTGGTAAAGTCATTTCAGACAAATATTATAGTAAATAACCTAGAGTGGGTTGAACAATAACTATATTTACAAATAAATGAATAACAAAAGATGAATCAGGGCTGAGAAAGCTTCTGCACAGCATTCGCCTCCAGCAGGGAATATATTTTCCATTGAGCCTATCTTGTTCGTTTCCTTGTTGAGACTGATCTTATATCTCTTCCAGTATGGCAGATTCCTTTCCATCCTGGTGTAGAAACTGGTATTTCATTCTCCAGTACCTTGGTATCTTCCTTATCTGAGCTGGGAACTTTAGAATGGTGGATATCGGGATTAATGCTTAATCCACTCTTTTTCTTAATCTCCAGATTAAATATTGCTTGTTGTCCTCATGAATTTAATCTCCAGATTAATTTACAGATCGGGATTAAGGATATCACATTCTAAAGTTTTCAGCTCTGGGTTCACTAGCTTTCCAAACATGATAATGGTCCTAGACCCCGTCAGACTTGGCTTGGGGTTCTTAAAAATAGATATGTAACGGGCAACTTATCCGGGTTCAAATATATACCCCAGGAGTAGTTGAACCAACTGGCCAAATGACACTATTTACAGTAACTTAGTTGTAAACCATGATTTTGGACACAATATGTTTGACATTTTAGAATTGTTTTTTTAAACCTTGAAAAAAATCCGCTAATCTATTTTTTACTGAAAATAAGATAAGTAGAAACAAAAGTGAGAGAATATATTATTTCTATCAAAAATTAAATCTTAAACAGATCAGTTGAGTGGTTTTGTAGAAAATGAGCAAAAATAAGTTCAGAAAGTTTGCAATTTCAGTGTTGAATTAACCATTAGAACCAAAGTTCTGCCTGCACTGGCTCCTCAAATTTCAACAGAACAGAGAATATTGAAAACTTTGGAACACAGCAAGAAGATGGGGGATCAGAGAATTTTTTTCAAAAATGAAATTGCGTATCTTTAATAGGGGATAGTGGAGATGGCATGTTTGATGTAGGAGGGGGGGGGGGCCTGCCTTCATTTTTGGTTCAAATCTTCCAATTTTTGGATGCACGACTAATTAGTAATCGAAATTCCTAAAATAAAATAAAATCAAATTGAATTATAGAAGCTGTTTTTTTTGCCCGCAGCACTACAGGTATATTTAGAATTTACTAAAACACAATAAAAAGTCTGTGTTCAGAGTTTTACAAAATAAAAGTTATCTAGTGTTTTGTAAAAAAAATAATAGCTCTGATGCAGTTATCAAACTACTTAAGAACATTGGCTCTGATAAAAAAGATGTGCTACTCTATTCATTTAAAAAAACAAAATATTTAAACATTTTATAAATTTGTTTGTTGACCAGCTTTAATATTGGGTTTCTTGTATAATCTACAAAACAATCAGGTTGTGTAAATATATATGTAAAGCATTTATTTGAACAATGTAAACATACATTAAATGTACAGAATTAATCATTTATTTATGGTTTAACATACTTCAGGATTTCTACTACAACATTTCCAGCTACTTTTCCCTGAACAAATACAACTAGTTTATCATGGTAAAACATCATCAATGCATAATGATTACGGCGATGAACAGAACACTCTCAAATGGGAAGACGACTTTTAGACTAAAGTTATAAAGTTATGAAGTGTCTAGTATTATTTGCTTTGTAACTACATCAAATAATACACTTGAGTATTGTTAAATGTCTGGTTACAACTGTATGATTAAAGCATAAATAAAAAACTTTAACAGACCTAAATGGACTAAACATTATCACTTTGCCTTAAAGGGACTATAGATTTATTTTTAAGTGACTCATTTAAAGAAGGACATATCTGATTCACAACAGTACCATTGAAACCTAAATCTGATTAATAATGTAGAATATAACCTCGTTGTTCTGGCTTAAAGTGACTGTAAAGGAAAAATAAAAGGGGGTATAGGCTGAAAGCTAATCACTTTAGCTCTCGTTCGCGGCCCATGAAAGTTATATCTGTTGTTCCTATCTCGAGAAATTGATATACAACTGTGTCAAATTTGTACGAAAATTAATATATATACAATTTTGTATAAAAGTAGTGGGTTAACATAGATCAAATTCAGCAAATAAGCACCCAATCTGAAAACGATGATATCCCTTAGAAAGCTAATTATTGCTTAGGTTTACTCCAATTC